CAAGGTATTAACGTAATAAATGAGAATATACAGAATTAATATTTTTTTACATTGAGAATGCCATTTTTTTGTTCTTATCTATTTATTTATTTATTCATTTTTTATTATGTCATGTTAGGGGAAATCAGAGGGGGAGACAAGCCATGAGAGACTATGGACTCAGAGGTAATAACTTCTTAACTCGTTCCATGAGGTCAGCATTACTCTGATAACTAAAATCAGTCAAAGACATTATAAGAGAAGAAAATTATGGACCAGTATCTGTCATGAATTATAGATGTAAAAATTTTCAAAAAAATATTGAGAAACCAAATCCATAAATGCATAGAAAGAATTATACAGCATAGTGAAGTGAGATATGTCTCAGGTAAGCAATGGTGGTTCAACGTTCAAAAATCAGTTAGGGTCACCTGGGTGTTCAGTCGGTTAAGCATCTGTCTTTTGATTTTGGCTGAGGTCATGACCCAGCCTTGGGTGGGGGAACTCCATGCTAAGCATGAAGTGGACCTGAGATTCTCTCTCTCCCTTTCTCTCTGCCCCTCCCCCTGCTCTTGCTCTTTCTCTTTCTTTACATAAATAAAATCTTTAAAAAATCACTTAGTGGGCTAAAAAAAGGAAAATTACATCTGCACCATCATATCAATAAATGCAGAAAACTTATTTGACAAAGTCTAACACTCATTCATGATAAAAGCATCAGTAAACTAGGAGTTTTCTCAGCTAGAAAAAGTATATCTATGAAAAACTATAGCTAACATACTCAATACTCAGTTGTGAATAACTGGAGTTTTTGCAGTAAGTGCAGGACAGATCAAGGATGTCACCCTTTCCTTGCTCCTTTTCAACATTGTTCTGGGAATGCCTAGCTAATGAAATAAGACAAGATAAGGAAATTAAAAGGATGCACATTTAGAAGGGAGAAATAAAGTTCTTTGTTCACAGGTGACATGATCGGCTATGTAGGAAATCTGAAAGAATTGACCAAAACCTTTTGGAACTAATAGGCAACTATAGCAAGGTTGCAGGATACAAAGTTGATATACAAAAGTCAATTGCTTTTCTTTTTTTCTTTCTTTCTCTCCTTTTTTTTTTTTTTTTAAGATTTTATTTATTTTTTTGACAGAGAGAGACACAGCAAGAGAGGGAACAACAAGTAGGGGGAGTGGCAGAGGGAGAACAGGCTTCCTGCTGAGCAGGGAGCCGATGAGGGGCTCGATCCTAGGACCCTGGGATCATGACCTGAGCCGAAGGCAGACGCTTAACCGACAGAGCCACCCAGGCGCCCCAGTCAATTGCTTTTCTACATACCAGCAACTATTAGGTGGAATTTGTGTGTGTTTTTTTGGTTTGTTTCTGTTTTTTTAAGTTGCTTCATGCCCAGCATGGAGCCCAGTGTGGGGCATGAACTCAAGACCCTGAGATCAAGACCTGAGCTGAAATCAAGAGTCAGCCACTCAACTGACTGAGCCACCCAGGGGCCCCAGGAGGTGGAATTTGAAATTAAAAGCCCAATACCATTTATATTAGCACCCTTCCAAAAGATTGTTAGGTACAAATCTAACAAAATATGTATATCTGTATGAAGAAAACTACAAAACTTTGTTGAGTGAAATGAAAAAAGAATAAAATAAGTGGAAAGATAGTCCATGTTCTAAGGATAAGAAGAGTCTGTATTGTGGAGATGTTGGTTCTTCCCAGGTTGATGTCAGTTATTCCCAGGTTCATCTATAAATTCAATGCAATAGCAATCAAAACCCCAGTCAGTTATTTTGTGGATATCAATGAACTGATTCTAAAGTTTAGAGATGTAAAAGACACAGGATGCCTTATTAGGGAATTATAAAGTTGGAGGAATGACAGCACCCAACTTAAAGACTTAATATAAAGCTATAGCAATTAAGTCAGTGTATTATTGGCAAAATAATAGATGAATGGATTATTGAACAGAGTGTGGAGCCCTGAAATAGATTTGCATGAATATAGTCAACTGCTCTTTTACAAAGGAACAAAGGCAATACAGTGGAGCATAGATAGTCTTCTCAACAAATGGTGCTGCAACAGTTGGATTTCCAGAGCAAAAAGAGAATGTTCTAGAAACAGTCCTTACACCTTCTACAATAATTAACTGAAAATACACAATAGATGTAAGTGTAAAACACAAGACTTTAGGACTCCTAGAAGATAGCTCTGGAATAAACGTATGACACCAGTGGCTCAGTTCATGAAACATAATAAGTTGGACCTTATTAAAATTTGAAAAATCTGTTTTGCCAAAAACAATGTTAAGAGAATGAGAAGACAAACCACCGATTGGGAGAAAATATTTGCAAAATATACATATAATAAGGGACTGTTACCCATAGTATTCAAAGAGCTCTTAAAATTTAACAGTAAGAGAACAACCCGATTAAAAAATAGGTAACAGACATCTCACCAAAGAAGATAATTCAGATGTCAAATAAGCATGTGATAAGATACTCCACCATCATATGCAGATTAAAATAACAATGAGATACACTACGATGCAATAGAATGGCCAAGATCCAGAACACTGACAGCACCAAATTCTGGTAGGATGTGGAGTTAACATAAACTCTCATTCATTGCTTGTGGGACTGCAAAATGGAACAGCCAGTTTGGAAGACAGATTGGCAGTTTCTTAAAAAACTAATCATACTTTTACTGTATTATCCAGTAATCATTCTCCTTTATATTTCCTCAAAGGAGTTAGAAACTTATGTTCATGGAAAAACCTACTATGAATGTTTATAGCAGCCTTTTTCATAATTGCCAAAATTTAGAAGAAACCAAGATGTCCATGGGCCACCTGGGTGGTGCAGTTGGTTAAACGTCTGACTCTTGGTTTCAGCTCAGGTCCTGATCTTAGAGTCTCCCAGAGATTCTCTCTCCCTCTGCCCCTCCTGTTCATGTGCTCTCTCTTTCTCTCTAAAATAAAGAAATAAATCTTAAAAAAAAAAAGAAGAAGAAGAAACCAAGGTTTCCTTCAGTAGGTGAACGGAGAAATCAATTCTGGTACTTCCAGACAGTGGAATATTATTCAGCGCTGAAAAGAAATGAGCTATCAAGCAATGAAAAGTCATAGGGTACCTTACATGCATATCACTAAGTGAGAGAGGACAACCTAAAAGGCTATGTATATGATTCTAACTATATCACATTCTGGAAAAGACTCAACTTGGAGACAGAGTAAAAGAGTAGTGGACACTGGGGGTTGGGTTGTGCGGAGGGATGAGTAGGCAGAGCAGAGGATTTCTAGGGCTGTGAAAATACTCTGCATGATACTATAAGGATGGATACATATTATTATACATTTGTTCAGACCCATAGTATGTACAACACCAAGAGTGAACTCTAATGTAAACTGTGGACTTTGGAGGATTATGATGTAGTAATGTAGGTTCATGACTTGTGGCTGATAGATCACTGTGGGGAGGCATGTTGATAATGGGGAAGGCTCTGAATGTGGGATGGTAGGGATATATAGGCAGTCTTTTGTCTTCCTCTCAATTTTGCTGTGAACCTAAAGCTGCTGTCAAAAGTTATAGAAAATAATATAAGAATCAATACAATACATGTAGCCTGGGAGAAGAAAATATCTGAAAGATAATTATCCCTTCAGATATTTTTCCTGAATATTTCCATATTATAATATTGCTCCAAAATAGATATATGTTATTTTCCAGTTTATCTAGATGAAAATATTTTATTTATTTATTTATAAAACAGATTTTATTTATTTGAGAGAGAGAGAGAGCATGTGCACATGAACAGGAGGAGGGGCAGAGGGAGAAGCAGACTTCCTGCAGAGCTGGGAGACCTGACATTGGGCCCCGGGATCATGACCTGAGCCAAAAGCAGCCCGTTAACTGACTTAGCCACCCAGTCGCCCCTAGATGAAAATATTTTATATGAGATGCATATATAGTGAAAGCAAGCCCATTTTCCATCCTCTGTCTTTCTTTTTGACTTCACCCTCTTTATCAGGTCTCCTATGAAACACCTGCTGGTACCCCCAAGTGTTTCCTTTCAGATACTAATCACATCCATTGTTCCAGATGATTTGATTTTGTTTAATGTCTTCATCTTCTCCATAACCATAGATTTTTTTCTACATCTTCACATCCTCTTTGTATATTGTAGATATCAAGAGTAGAATAAAAGCTGACATGCTTGTAATGTGCATGACAGGGTAGCAGAAACAAAGATGTTGGTATTTACTGTGGCTAAGAGGACGAGCACGGTTTTGGTGATAGGAGTTTTTTCTGTAGGTTCTGGTAGATAAAGCGAGTGGGAATAAGTGAGGAGAGATGCAGGAGGAAAGATGAGGGGAATGAGAGGCTTATTCATGATGGGTGTGGACCAGCAGCTGGTGTCCAGTGGTCCTTCTTGGATCGAACTGGACCATGATCTTTCACGTGCCCTTCCACTTGAATGTTTTGCCTTTTGAGGTGACAAAATGCATTTTGATGGTGCTGCTTATATACGAAGATGACAATATTATGCCTCAAGTTTTGTTACTTCTTCTTACTATCATTTCTCCCATGACTTACATGTTTGTAAGGTACTCAGTGGTAAGGGTTGGCTGTGGGTTTGTAATTTGTGTGTGTGTGTAATGTTATATGGTCTCTCTTATAAATATAATCATTAGACCAAGCTGTGTGAATCATTCATCTGTTTACTAAATACTGAGTACATGTTTTGTGCTTCGTCTTGTAATAGATGCTGATGGAATAAAGACAGGGATGGGGATGAGGTGAAGAGTATGAATATGCCACTAAATGTAACTCAGTGAAATAGTCACCCAGTGAGTAGAAGACTCCATCATGTCTTTCTTTAATTTTTATCCTTTAACTTTAAATATTTCGGGATGTCAGACCTCATGGCAGCTTCGTCTTTGTCAAACTGATGTACTTTGGAAAAATCATTGTAAAATGTATTTTAAAAGCCTTTTCTATTTTTACTTCTCACTTTCATTTCAGAATTGCTCCGTTGAGGGGAAGACGTGACCTTAAAAATCACTTTAACGTTTTTCGGAGTAGTAAGTTATTAAGGAAATGGTAATTGTTTTGCTTGCTGTCTACAGTCTTCGGAGCACAAGTGAGCTGCATTCATAACTTTATAATTCACTTTTGCCTTTATTCTTGCTTACCTTTCCCCTCATCATGAATCTTTCTCCTATACCCGATAGTATCTTTGTACTTCTCTCCTCTGGGCATTTTTAATGCCTTCTGTTTTGGGGTTACAGTATCATTGTCATTGTTTTCTGATATTGCATGCTTAATTAAAACCTTAGACATTTTGAACTTGGAGCTTCATGTTGGTGAAATAAATTAGACTTTCCTTTATCATTATTTTTTCCAACAGATTTACATAAAATGACAGCTACCAAGTTTTAAATTAATTAGGTTGATTACAATTCTACACTTTCCTTTGAGTTTGTTGTAATGCAGTACTATATGTGTGTGTGTGTGTGTATTTTGTCCTAAATTTTACCAATCAGGGTCACTCATCTTGATATTTTGACCATCCTCTAAAAAGCAGCATCCTGACAGCTTTTATTTCCTGTGATTTTGTTAGATTTTGCTGCCTACCGTTTCACGGATAATACATTTTTAAGCCAAAGAGGTTTCATATCCAGAATAATTGCCTATAATTCAGTTTTAAGGTATGTCTATTTTTTGTACGTTAGACCAATACTTTTCTACCTTTAAGGAAATACGAATCACCTGGAGATGTTACTGAGATGCAGATTCTGAATTCAGTGTTCTGATGTGTTGTCGACCTCCCAGATGAAGGCTGCTAGTATCAGTAGTTGTTGCCTTCTGTCATCTTGTGAAGAGGATATTCTCAGGAGTTCTCCTTGCAGTGACTGCTGGGGTCTCCTATCTCATTCAGATCCCCTCCTTGGTGGTAGATCGTGCTGTGAAGACAGAGGCCATGTTGCTGATTCCTTTGGTATCTTTTCTGCCTTCCCTCTGCACTTCCCAAGCATCCTGGGAAGGGGGAGGGAGGAGAGACACCTCTCTTGCGGAGAGGTTGGACCCATTGTCTGAGTTGCTTATGTAGCTAATCGATGGTCTAAGAATGCTAGGAACTTTATTTGTAATTATGTATATGTAGAGGCAGATTTTTATTTTAGCTTAGCGATGTAGTCTTGGCATGACAAGTGGAAATAAGATTTATATCAATCTAATTATGTTAAGTGTAACAGAAACAGTTCCACTTAAAAAGATACTTTAGTAAATTTTTTTGAAAAGTGAATATGAGGAATTCCTTTTTTTTCTTAAAATGACAATTACTCTCTAATTTTCATTTTTGGTAGCTAATGTTTCTGGGTGTTAGCTATTTAAAAAAGGATGATTATTTTATGGTGCGCCTGGGTGGCGCAGTAGGTTAAGCATCTGACTCTTGATTTCGGCTCAGGTTGTGATCTCAGGGATGTGATCTCAGGGTCATGAGATTGAGCCCTGTGTCAGCCTGCTCACTGAGTGTGGACTATGCTTAAGACTATCCCTCTCCCTCTGCCCCTACCCCTTGTGCTCTCTCTCTTTCTCTCTCTCTCATATAAATAGATAATTTTTTTTCAAAAAAGTCATTTATTCTGTGTGTGCACATATTTTCACTTATGAACTTTTATTAAATTTAAAATCTGTATATATAAGCAGATGGGAAAAACATAGTGTTGTACACTTTTTTTTTCCTAGCACACTCAGTCTATAAGTAGTATGTGTGATTACCAGGTTAGAATTTTGAGTTTGCCCCTAAACCAAGGATTTCTAACATAAAATTTTGAAAACTGTATTGTGTTTGTTGGGATAGTTATCTGAATGAAGGTAGAGACTATTTTACACTTATCTGTGAGATACAAGGTGTAAGAAGCACAAAGAGCCATCCTTTGACCATTCTAACAGTTGCCTCTTGACATTTAGGAGAGAACCATCTTGGAAAAACTTGCTGTGATTTTCTTTTACAGGTCTCAAGCATTACTGGTCTTGGAGGTCTAGGTGATAGTACTTTTTATATGTAAATGCCTTTATTCATTTCACACACATTTGTTCACTGTGTAAGATGTGCAGGGCACTGTGGGAGACACTCATGGCCGCATGCATCCTGCTTTTCAGGAAGTCTGCTTTGCCTTTAGTGCATGTGTCAGGCAGTCTGAGTTCACTGGTCTTCATAGTATGAGAACATCTTGAAGTCTTCTATTTAACTTGATTGCAATTTGTGTATGGTACTCTGCACAAAAGCATTGACAGACTTTGGCTCTCTTCTCCACGTGTTGTCACCAGGCAGTGTCTTTAATCTCTTCAGTGCTATCCTTGGTTAATTTTCTCATCTGTATCTGTTATGTTGTAATTTAAATGAATTATTTAATGTATCTTCGTTTGTATATAAGCATATCCTGTGTTCACTGACTCTTCCACGGCTTTCATCCTTAAAGAAATAAAGAAATCTATTGATTCAGATTGCATTTAAACCTTTTATTTTAATAGAGAGCCTTTCCTGGGACTCCCTAAACTAGTGTCTATTTTGTGAGTATTCTTGTTTATGTCAGATAAAGTCTGCTCAGTTCCCTAGTAGCCGTGTAGAGAGAAGGTAAGAGAAGTGTGAAATGTGAAGGGTGGTGCAGGCTTTACCTCCATTTCTAGAACAGACTGTGAGCCCTGAGGCATCAGAGATTGGAATATGTCCATGCGGGATCTAGCCATTGTGTGGAAGTCCCACTGCTCTCTCTTTGTAATGGAAGCAAAGGGCTGGCTGTATTCACCTTAGAAGTAGAGTTTTCTTTGCCCAACATTCTTTGTTCTGCTCAGACATTAGAATAGAACTGAACTAACCAGAGGGATATAGCCATCTCTTGGTTGTCTTTTTTGGGGGGCAACAGCTTTATTGAGATATAAATCATATGCCATACAGTTTATCTGTTTAAAGTAAACAGTTCAGTGGTTTTTACTATATTCACTGAGTTGTGAAACTACTACCACAATTAATTCTTGTACATTTTCATCATCATGACAAAAATTCTGAACCCATTAGAGGCACTTCTCATTTACCCCAGTTAACCTCGTTACCACCTCAGCTCTAGGCAACTAGTCTACTTTCTTTCTCTATGGATATGTCTGTTCCAGATATTTCATATAAGTGGAATTATAGAATATGTGATTTCTTTTGTGACTAGCTTCTTTAATTTAGCATAACATTTTCAAGGTTCATCCATGTTGTAGCATGTATCATTACTTCATTTTTTATGGCTGAATAATAGCCCAATGCATGCATATGCCACATTTTATTTACCCATTTATCAGTTCGTAGACATTGGAGTCTTTTCACTTCTTTGGTATGAACATTCATGCACACATTTTTGTGTGGACGTATTTTTTCTTTTCTCTTAGCTATATACCTAGGACCAGAATTGCTGTAACAGGGTAATTCTGTATTTAACCTTTTGAGGAGCTGCCAGGTTGTTTTCAAAAATAGCTCTTGATTATTTTTGTAACCATTATCCCACCTGTATTTTGACTTTCCCTGCCTTGATTTAGGCTTTGCCACCTCTTGCCTGGCTCTCAGAAGAAGCTCATAACTGGGCATTTGGCACACTGCTTAAGACTGTAGACTATGGACTTTGAAGAGATCAGTGCCTAGGGTGTAACCCAGGAAAATTACTTAATTTAATTTTTATTAATTACTCAGCTAATTCATTCTGTATTTCCAGTTTCACTTACCACTTTTTATTACCTGGCTTCTGTTAGTGCTCTGCTTTTGCTCTTGAATTTTCCTGGAATTTTGTTACATATTTTGGCTATAACTTTTGTCATTTTGCATTAGGGATATTTTAGGAGCAGCATTTGGTGGAATGTGCTTGGCTTCTGAAATTATAACATGTAAAGTTATCCATCAGTACCAGCCTTAGCTCCATCTGGCTCTGTGTCTACCCTAATCTAGCTCGATTCTTCACCGTTTCTCAACACTGTCCCCCACCTTCTATATCACCTGGAACATTCTTTCATCTTTTTTTTTTTTTTAAAGATTTTATTTATTTATTTGAGAGAGAGAGAGAGCACATGAGAAGGGGGAGGGTCAGAGGGAGAGGCACACTCCCCGCTGAGCAGGGAGCCCTATGTGGGACTCGATCCTGGGACTCCAGGATCGTGACCTGAGCCGAAGGCAGTCGCTTAACCAACTGAGCCACCCAGGTGCCCACATTCTTTCATCTTCAAACCTCCATATCCTGAATGCCTCTGAGTGTTCCCTTCTCCTTTTTTTTCTTTTTAAGTTTTATTTATTTATTGGAGAGAGAGAGAAAGTGGGGGGAAGTGCAAAGGGAGAGGGAGAAGCAGACTCCCTGCTGAGCAGGGAGCCCCACTTGGGGCTCGATCCCAGGACCCTGAGACCATGACCTGAGCCAGGGGCAGACACTTAACTGACTGAGCCGCCCAGGTGCCCCTTTCCTTCTCCTTCTTGCTCTAACTGAAACCTGACTGCCTTCTGAGGACAGTGCTTCCTATCCTCCCAAGTAGTGGCTGCTTTTTCCTACCCTAAAAGTATCTCAGGGTCTAGAGAAACGGAGTGCTCCCTTTGCTGCTTTGAGATAATTTTTCTTCTCCCTCAAAATTGCCAGCTCCTTTGAAGCATTTGTCATCATACCTCCCCCTTACCTTACCTTCCAGTGATTTCTTTACATTCAGGCTCACTTTTTCTTCATCATTATTCCTGTTGTCATTCTTGGTGAGGTGAACATCCATCCAACACCTGGCCTCTTCATCCCCACTTCTGATCGTCTTTACCGCAATTTAGCTGCCTCTTCTATGTCCATACCCTAGGACCTGTGATGACTGATAACTATTACTTCTGCGACTCTTCATCTACTACTCTTACAGGTTTCTAGCACAGTAGCTGACACCACATAATAGATGCTTGGTAAGCATTATTGTTGTTCCTGCTAGTCTGCTTCTGTTGTAGCACCAACTGTCCTTGAAGGCAAGAACTATGTCTTTTGTTTCGTATATTTCCAGAACTATCACAGTCCATGGTATAAAAAGTCTTTTTTTTTTTTTTAAGATTTTATTTATTTGAGAGAGAGAATGAGAGAGAGAGAG